GAAGAAGCTTCTTGGATGAGAAGCGTAACGTCTTCAAGTAAAAACAAAGAAAGCTCTCTTGAAAAAGCACCCTTGGGGCAACCAGGACCTGGAGGTCAGAGACGTTTCTTAGACATTTGGTGGTCCATCATTTTCCCGCTGTCGCTCTGCCTCTTCTATCCTGACTCCGTTAAGCCCAGTAGACGGAGAGGGAGCTGCAGAGAAGGTTGATGGCAGCTCCTAGCATCGAACGATTAGCTGGCACTGCTGAGAGGTTTTCCACTGGCTTCTCTCTCTGTCCAAGGGGCAGTAGGGGAGGGGGCTTCTGCAAGAGGAAGGAGGGAGAGGGAAAGAATTGCTCCAACAGGAAAGAAACTCAACAGCAAACAGTGTCAGGGTTCCAAAGGATGCCCTAATTACCGTACTTTTCGGTATAAGACACAACTTTAATACAGCATTTTTGGCCTCCCAAAACCCTGCCCCCTTTGCAAAAATGGATGTGCAGAGGCTTTGGGAGGCCTGCAAAGTGCTCGGGGGGGCTGGGAAAGGCAAAAACAAGTAAAAAATGGGTCATTTTTTGCTCATTTATGCCCCCCCCCAGCCCCCAGGAACACTTTGCAGACTTCTCAAACTCTATGCATGCCCTGTTCTTCATGGAAAATGAGGTGTGCAGAGGGTTTGGGAGGTCTGCAGAGTGCAAAAACTTTCTTTAAAAAATTTATCTCTTAAAAATCTTGGTGTGTCTTATACTCTGGTGCGTCTTATAGTCTGAAAAATACAGTAACTCATGAGCCTCAAGCCAAGTTTAAAAAGAAATCCAGTTATTTATTAGGAGCTACATGTCGGTAATTACCCAAGTGAAGTCAACGCTGCCGCATGGAATTTATGGCTCAACTCTGACCCTTCTTCCCACCTCCTCCCAAAGTGCGTCATAAATCACATTCTCCAATGAGGCACTTTCCCGGGCTGTAGAAACACAAGCCTCTCAGACCAACCTTGAAAAAGGTAGGCATTGAATGTGCTTCAGAATGTGGCTGCTGAACATTCTTCCCCCTCCTGCCCATGGCAACTCGAGAGCAGACTAGAAATGCTTTGCACATTGACAAGTAACTCTGGAGGGCAGAGTTGGGCCCATGGCCTTATTTTGGGAACTGCAACTCAAATGGTAACTGTTCGCTTAGCAATTGTTCAAAGTTACCACTACACTGAAAAGAGTGGCGGATGACTGCTCCTCGCACTTATGACTGTCACAGCATCTCCCAAAGTTACATGATCAAAATTCAGCGGCTTGGCTGGCAACCAGCATGTGCTTGCCACCATTGTACAGGTAGTCCTTGAGTTGCAACCATTCGTGTAGTGACCGAAGTTACAACGGCACTGACGATTTTTCAGGTAATATATCCCAGTGGTCATGTGGTCAACATTTGAATGCTATTTTAGTTTGACTTCCTGCCCCAAGGAGACGGCGGGCACTATGCCCTGAATGGCTCTCCCACCCTCCTACCATGGATGCTTTCACTTTTCCTCCAGAGATGGTATTTGGCAGATTCTGACCAGTTCTGGAGAACCGGTAGCAGAAATTTTGAGTAGTCCAGAGAATCGGCAAACACCACCTCTCGCTGGCCCTGCCCCCATCTATTCTCTGCCTCCCGAGTCCTAGCTGATTGGGAGGGAATGGAGATTTTGCAGTATCCTTCCCCTGGAGTGGGGAAGGAATGGGGATTTTGCAGTATCCACCAAGCCACCCCACCCTACCCCATGCCCATCAAGCCACACCATGCCCATCAAGCCACATCACGCCCATCAAACCACACCCACAGAGCTGGTAGTAAAAAAATGTGAATCCCACCACTGTTTTCCTCCCTTGTTTTTTATTCACCTGGACATCCTGGAAGATCTTGATGACAGCATCTAGACTTTGGATATCCTTCTGGTTCATTCTGATGACGTAGCAGGCCTTTCCTGTCCATGATCGGTAGCCGATCACCAGCTATTCAAAGGCAGAGTGTAGAGGTGAGCTTGCGATGGCAACCCTGACATCCTTCTAGCACTGATGATGTTACCTAGTTGGGTCATGAAATGTCTACAAGGAAACCACCAAACTCAGAGAGCATCAAGGACCCCACGGTTCAATCCTGAGTTGCTTGTTATAATGATTTAGGGCATGAAGACTAAAACATACGATGAATGGTTGCAGGAACTGGGCATGGCTGGTCTAGTGAAGAGAAGGACCAGGGGAGACAGGAGAGCAGCCTTCCAATATTTCAGGGGCTGTCACAGAGAGGAGGGGGTCAAGCTATTCTCCAAAGCCCCTGAGGGCAGGACAAGAAGCAATGGGTGGAAGCTAATCAAGGAGAGAAGCAACTTAGAATTAAACAGAAATTTCCTTACAGAACAATTAATCAGTGGAACAGCTTGCCTCCAGAAGTTGTGGATTCTCCAACACTGGAGAAGTTTTTAAGAAGATGTTGGATAGCCATTTGTCTGAAGTGGTGTAGGGTTTCCTGCCTAAGCAGGGGGTTGGACTAGAAGACCTCCAAGGTCCCTTCCGACTCTGTTATTCTATATATGATATTTCTCTCTCTGGGTACGATAAGAATATATCTACTGAATATAACTCTGCATTGGTAACAGGAAAGGCATTCGGCCAGTAAAACATTTGGCTACATTCAATTAGCCAGAGCCCAAGAGATTACAGGCTCATTAAAAGATGACGATTATTAATTCATTCTCCTCTCTTAACTAACTGCAATAAGGAAGACCCTTCCTCAAACTGGGACATATCTTTGGGCTGCAGCTTTTCAGTAGACTCATCATAAGACGCCTCTGTGTCACAACAAGAAATAGAAGTTTACTTTAAAAAACAGGGGTGGAGAATATTTCGATTCCAAAGAGGTGTCAGGCAGCTGCACAAGCCAATCTTTGGCCAAGACGAAGGAAAGCCAGGATTGGGTGCAAACCTTACATTGCTGTAATCATAAACCACTGTGGCTGAAGAGTTGAGCTTCATGTGGATGGGAAATATGGCCAGTTTCTCCTTCTGGCTCATGGCCAAGTGCTGGGGGGACCCTTTGCCATCCGGGCGTTGAATGGTCATTTGCAGGACCTAGGAATCGCCAAGAAGCCAAAGGAGAAGAAAAGCAGTTCAGTATCGGTGTGTCTTTACAATTAGTGTTTCCCCTCTAATACATTACATATCTTTACATTCATGCTCTCCTTATCCATTATCCATTTTTATGTACTATTCCGTATTTATTTGTACTTTGCTCTTTATGTCAAAATATTATTTTGCCTATATTATACATTATGTTCTTACTATCATTGAAATGCTCTATCATAACTTATCTTTACTGACTCCTATCTTAGCATTATGTGCTCCTTTCCTACTACATCGTTGTTATGCAATTCTCTATTTCTTATTTCTGTCATCTAACCACTTAGACCATTAACCCCAAATTAGATAGTATTCTGATTCCTACTTTCCTTGTATTTCCTTCATCAATTTATCCATCTGGGCACATTTTAAAATCTTTTTTTATCACCTCCTCTTCCTTTGGTACTGCATTGCTCTTCCAATTTTGGGCAAATGTTATTCTGGCCGCAGTTATAATATATAGGGTTAAGGACAGTATTTCTCCACTTTACTTTTTTGTAATTATGCCTAATAGAAATACTTCTGGTTTCCAATCTATATGGTCTCCCGTTTTTTCTTCGAGCCATTTTTAAATTTTGGACCAGAATTTCTTCGCCATCTCGCATGCCCACCATGTATGGTAATAGGTCCCGTGTACTTTTTTACACTTCTAACATGGTGAACTATTCGGGAACATCATTGCAAGCCTCGCTGGGGTGGAGGGGAGATGCAATCTATACAACATCTTGTACTGCTTTTCCTTGTTTGCCGCCGACATAAGACATTTCCAAATTTACTGAATCCTGAACTGCTTTATGATATATGATGGAACTTTGAGTTCCTGGGTTGTTTTAAGTCATGTGTTTGTTTCTGTTGCTGTGTCTATTTGTTTAAAATAAAAGCTTTTATAAAACAAAAACAAAAGGAGAAGAAAAATGGGACTCAGGACTTCCAGAAAGGATGAAGACCAGTGGCTGGGTATCACGCATCACACTGGACCGTAATCCTGGTTTAAGACAAATCACTTGTTGAGCCAACAATGCCTGCGCTGCCCAGACAAATAACCCAAGAGACAGATTCACACAATGGCCTGGTGTGCGTTACCTACTCAGACCAGGGCTGGGATCCCTACAGCATCAATAAAATGGAAAGTAGCTAACGCCCTGTAGGACGTTAGCACCCACTCTTCTCCTAGAAAAATGAAATATCCTAGGACTGGGATGGTGAACCTGTGTCATGCGGAGCCATTTGTCAGGTACGTGAGGCGTTGTCTTGTCAGCTGGACAGAGCGCATGCGTGCACTAGCCAGCTGAGGTCAGCCTTTTTAAAGCCATTTTTCGCCCTCCCTAGCTCCAGAGGCTTTATAGGAGCTTGGGGAGGGTGAAAAGAGCCTCCCCCGTCCCCTGCCCCCCCCGAGGCCCTCCAGAGGCTTCAGGAGCTTCCAGCCTCCAGAGCGCAAAAAAACAGCCCTACGGGCAAACCGGAAATTCAGGAACGGACTTCTGGTTTGCTTGTAGGGTGGGTTTAAAGGGGGATTGGGCATTGCATTATGATTGCGGCACGTTCACGCATGACCCCCCCCTGCGCTCCCCCCCACCTTTATGGCACGCGAGCCAAAAAAGGTTCGCCATCACTGTCCTAGGAAATATTTAAAAGGCAGAATATTATATTTCCCTGAATAAGAAATGGAGAAGCGGGATAGTTCCTGAAACAATGCTGGGGAGAGATGCCACTCCGTCTGATCCACCGTTGCTCTGCTCAGCCAATCCGCTTGTATATTCGCGGTCTCCGATATGTGCTCTGCTCAGATTGATAAAAGGTGTTTCTCTGCCCAACAGTGGAGCCTCACCACCTCCAACATCAGTGACTTGGACCGCGTGCCTCCCTGATGGTTGACATGAGCCTTGGAGGCGACGTTGTCCATGAGGACCAGCACATGACCGGTCCTGACCAAGTCCTGAAATTCGTGAAGAGCCAGCCGGATGGCTCGCAGCTCCAGCCAATTTATGCTGTTCCTGAGCTCTTGTGCGCTCCAGCGCCATTGGGCTACCTGATCGAGGGAATGTGCTCCCCACCCGTATAGGCTCGTGTCTGTTGTTAACCCAATGCTCTCTGGTTCCTTGAATAGAGACCCCTGGAGCAGGTTGGGAGTCTTCCACCAGTAGAGCAATGTGAACACCTTGGGTGGGATTTGCAACTTGGACTGAGAGTGGCTGGTGTGCCTTCTGAAACAGAAGAAGGAACCACTGGAAGGAACAAGCATGGAAGCGTGCCCAGGGAACAATGTCTATACACAAAATCATTTTTCCCAGAGGTTGGGAAAGCATCGCCAGTGGTAAGGACCTCTGACCTTGAATGTGACTCACTAGCGACTGGATGTTGCTGCGTCGTTCCGGAGATAAGGCCACCTTGCATGTGTCGGAGTTTATGAGAGTCCGAGATGCAACAGCCTCATAGTCGGCTGAAAGTGGCTTTTTGGGAAGTTCAGCACAAAGCCGCGGTGCTGCAAGGTATTGATAGTCTCCTGAAGATCTTGAACTGCCTGGGATCGCGATGACGAGAGGATCAAAATGTCGTCGAGATAACAATTTACTCAGACTGGTAGGGAGCGAAGATATGCAGCTATTGCTGCCAGTAGCTTGGTAAAAGTTCGTGGGGCTGACGAAAGGCCGAATGGTAGGGCCTTGTATTGAAAGTGGCAGCCCGAGAATTTTCTGTGTGCTGTATGTATTGGCACATGCAGGTAGACCTCTTTTATGTTGACTGATGTCATCAGGTCACTTTGTCTGATGCAGGTCAACATGCTTTTGGGAGACTGCATCTTGAATTTTGGTGCCTGATGTAAAGATTGAGTCACTTTAAATCTAGGATGGCTCTCCATCCTCTCCAGGATTTGGGGGCTAGGAACAAGATGGAATAGAACCCTAGCCTTTCCTGTTCCTTGGGAACTGGTTCTATGGCGTCGATGGATAACAGATGTTGGATCTCTTGGTTCATGAGACCCTGTTTCACTTGACACCTGGAGACAGGGCACTTGAATCATCTCGGGGGCATGGAGAGAAACTCTAGAGTGAGGCTTGGCCTCACTGTCTGGACGACGCAAGCGTCCAAGGTGGTTTCTGCCCATTGGCTTGTGAAGGCTGACAATCGCCCACCAATAGGCCCATCCCTTTGGGAGTCACCTATACCGGCGAAAAGACCGGTTGTTGGGGCTACAAAATGGCCGTTGAGCCTGTGATTGTTGCTGATTCTGTTGTCTATTCCTGTCTTGGGCACCTGACCAGTCCTGAGCACGGTCCTGTCCCTGTCTGTATGGCTGGTTGTACTGTGGTCCAAAATGGCTGCTTCCTGAAATAAGGCTGATGTCTCCTATCGGAATGCCTGTTGGTGGATGGAAGCACCTTGCACTTGTCCCTTGTCTCTATTAAGATCAGGTCCAAGGCAGAACCAAACAGGGACTCACCCTTGAATGGAGTCGAAGCTAGGCACCATTTAGATTTTATATCCGCCTGCCAATGGCGGAGCCATAGGAGGCAGCGGGACGTAACATTGGATGCTATAGCTCGAGATGTGAATTTAGTCGCATTAAGAGTAGCGTCTGAGGAATATTCCAGTGCTGCGACCAGTTTGTTGATATCCTGGTGCAGCCGCATATCCTCTGGGGCAACTCTGGTCTGGAGTTGTTTAAGTCACACCAAGGATGTCCGGTTGAAAAATAAGGCTGCAGCCGCTGATTGTAACGCCCAGGCAGCCGCCTGGTATGTTTTGCGTATCATCAATTCGGCTTTGTGGTCCTCCTCCTTGAGGCCTTCTGACAGTTTGGATGGCACCAGGGCTGGAGAGGCCAAAGCGGCAATGGTGTGTGTGTGTCTACAGTAGGGAACTGAAGAATCCCGTCTACTTCCGGGGTGGAGCTATATAGCTTTCTGTTGCAATTGCTGGGAGGTAGGATCACAGCAGGCTGCGTCCATTGTCTCTACACTACATCGAAAAATAGTTTAGAAAAAAGAATAACATCTTGTTCCTGAACCTGTTCAGCAAAGAACCAGTCCATGGAGTCCAGTCCCACTGCTGCACTGGCCTGAGTAGTGGGGTCACCCATGTTGGCGGTGGTCTTGGCCTTGTATAACAATGATTTAAACAATGGAGGCCGAAATAACCTAGAGAAGGAGGGCTTGTCCTGCCCTGAGCTGTCATCATCAGAAAGCTCCTGCTCTCCCAGGTCCTCCTCCTCACCAAGGATAGAACCCTCACTGTGAATTGAGGGGAGCAGGAAGGGAGGATCCGCCTGGGAAGTGGATAGATCCCTGGACAAGGCCACGTGTCTGGGGCGTTGTCCCCTTTGCTGGAGTTCAGCCTCTACTCCCTGAGTTATGGCAACCGAGATCAATCTCTGAGCTCCAGAGGGATACTGAGGGGAGAAGTTTCCTCGGGCCTCAACCCTGCCACAGTGGGGTGGCTGATAGTTCTATGTGCCTAGGCGCGGGTGCCTGACCCTCCAACATGTCCAAGAGATCAGATAAAGATTGGGGCCTCAAATCCACTTCCCCTACAGGGAGGTCTTGTGGCATGGGAATATCAGGGGACCAACTCTGGACCCCTTCCAGATTGGGTGGTAAGGCAGGTGGAGAACCGTGGATGGTAAGAGTTGATGGGGACCTGCTAGAAGTGGAGGCAGCCAGAGGCCTAGCTTCCTTCTTGTTTTTCTCTTTGTGTCCTGCGGCCTTATCTGCAGCCACGGATGAGACGGCTGCCCTGGTCCTGCAGGAGGTCCTGGTGGCAGTCCTCCAGACCCTATTACTGGCCCTGGACTGATTAGATGGTAATGAGAGGGAGATTTCTGCCCCAAAGTTGTTCCCAGTCGCCAAGCGATCTGCCATTATTATCATCAGAGAGCTCACTCAGAATAAAGCAGCTCCTCCCTCGGGTGATTTCGTGTCATGCTAACTTGGCATGAATAATCCGGCTGCCCCTTGGTCGGCTTCCAACTGCGCGCAATTCAAATCTTCCAAAAATGGACACCACTTTGAATTCCGCTGAAGACAATGGCCATTCCGAAACTGCTTTCCCTCGTGGCTGCAACAATCACGGCAGTAGCAGAGTCGCTGAGAGCAGGGCGCCGATCGCTGTCTCAAGTGGATCATGGCAGAACAATAAGGCCAATCATGCCCAGAGATAAACTCCGCGGCAAACGAGTTTATTAAAGAGGGACTGATCGCGCTTAATAAGTGGATTGCGCCTGAGGTAGCCGACACGAGAGTGGCACACCAGCTCTCGGCTGCGGCGATCGGTAGGTGAGGGAGTCAATTGCCACCAGTTCCAGCCGATTTAGTGTTGAGAAGCGCCAGTATTGCACTGAGAATGGCCTGGCAAGGCAGACCGTCGGAACGGAACAGCCTGCCCTTCCTAATCTGTAGATACCTAGAGGAAAAAGGAGAATGCTAAAAGGAAAAAACAATACTTACAGAACAATAGAGTTAATTTGTCTAGTATCCTAGAGAAAATTTATATCTCTCTTCAGGCTGGACTGAGTTAAAAAGCTGAACCCAGTCAGAGGAGGCGTGGTCAACAATTTCAGAACTCAGTCTCTAGGCTAATGGACAAAGTTAACCCATGCTTGGATTCCCCAAGCAGAGCACAGGAGAAAGGGATTACAAGAGAGTAAATTATGCTGGCTGGGGAATTCTGGAAGCTGAAGTCCATAAGTCTTAAAATTGCCAAGTTTGGGGACCCCTGATCTAAGTGAAGAGATTGCAGAGGAAGGGATTACAAGATAATAAATTATGCTGGCTGGGGAATTCTGGCAGTTGAAGTCCACAAGTCTTAAAGTTGCCAAGTTTGGGGATCCCTGGGGTAGAGCATCAACCACACAACCATGGCCAGTGGGGATGAAGGATTATGAACTTCTCTGGAAATCCCTTCCATAGTTTCATCCCAAGAATCCTGGTCAAGCCACCCTTACCGCCTCAGTATGCTTCTCGGTAATGTGCAGCCCTGCCAGCAGCAAAGTCAGGACCACCAGAGCCATAACCACGACCGCCATCACCAGGATCAAGAGTTTCCCACAAGAAAGGTCAGCGGACTTGGGAGATTCTGTGTAATCCTGCAGGAGCAAAAACAGATGTGAGCATTCCTCACTCCAACAGGGCTGGATTTTGTCTCAGAACAGAGCTGGAAGGGACCTTGGAGGTCTTCTAGTCTAATCCCTTGCTCAAGCAGGAGACCCTACCCCATTTCAGACAAGTGGTTGCCCAATCTCTTCTTAAAAACCTCCACTGTTGGATGACCCACAACTTCTGGTGGCAAGTTGTTCCTCTGGTTAATTGTCCTCACTGTTAGGAAGTTTCTCCTTAATTCCAGATTGCTTCTGTCTTTGGTTAGTTTTCATCCATCGTTTCTTGACCTGCCTTTTGGTGCTTTGGAAAATAAACTGACCCCCTCCTCTTTGTAGAAGCCCCATAAATACTGGAATACTGCTATCATGTCCCCCGCCCCCAGTCCTTCTTTTCTCTAGATGAGCCATTGTGTCTCAAATAACGTAATGAGATAGAAACTCTGTTTGTGTCCTCCACAGAAGTCACCCTGAGACAGGAGATATTCAGGGGGGTGTTGGACTGGATGACTGGATGACCTCCAAGGTCCCTTCCAAGCTCTTTTGATCTGTTAATCCCTTCTTCCTTTCCCCCAGAGAGGTAAGGATAGCCAGCTAGGGATCTGTTTCCTCTGAGCACATTAATTGCACATCAACCTACTTCATATGTAGCATTAATCTAGAGCAGTGCCGAAACGGGAATGCGTGTGCATGTGTACGCCAGCCACATGGTCTTTGGGTTTTGGCATGTGTATGTGTGCCAGCCAGATCTTTGTGCATGTTGGAACCCCAGGAACCCAAAGACCAGCTGGCTGGTGCGCGCATGCCTGTTTTGGGCTGTTTTGGGGATCATTTTTGGGCCATTTTGGGCTGAAAAACACTCTGAAAATGACCTAGAAAATGGTCTGTTTTTGGGTCATTTTCTGGTGCCCTGGCACCCGTGAAGGCCAGCTGGCTACAGTGCACATGCCCACAGAGAGGGCTCTGAGTGCCACCTCTGGCATGTGTGCCATAGGTTCGCCATCACAGATTTAGAGGCTGCCAGAGGCTATCTGTTGTAGAGTTTGTTTAATGACCATTTGAAGTTACAACAGCACTGAAAAGAGTGACTCATGGTTGTTTTTCACACGGTTCCCCCACCGTCACAGGAGAAAAATTCAGACGATGGACAACTGTCTCACATTTATGACGGTTATAGTCTCCCAGGGTCACGCGATCCCTTTTTGTGACCTTCTGACCAGCCAAGTCATCTGGGGAAGCCAGATTCACTTAACAACCACATTACTAACTTAGCATCTGCAGCAATTCCCTTCGCAATAGCAGCAAGGAAAGTTGTAACACGGGGCAAACCTCACTGAACAAATTTCTCATTTAGCAACATAGATTTTGGGCTCAGTTGCGGTCGTTCAGTTGAGGACTACCTGTATTCCGGCCATAGGCTTGGGGGCATCTACAGGGGGGTGGGGCAGAAAAGGAACAAGACAATATTAATATAGAAGTTTATATTCAAGGGTGAGATTTAAAGGGAAAAACATAGGATAGGTTAGCGAAGGAAAGGTATAAGAAATGATATTAAATCATATTTGGGTTTGTGGAAACACATCCCAAGAAAATATAAACTGACAGCTGAAAGAGACACCTACAAAACAGAAAAAGAAAGGAAGAGAGGAGGAGAAGAGAGGAAGAGGAGGGAAGGAAGAAAGAGGTAAGGAGAGGGGGTGGAAGGGAGGGAAAGAGAAGGAGAGAGTGTAGGAAGGGGAAGAGGAAGAGTAGGAGTAGGGGAGAGGTAAGGGAAGAAGGAAGGAGAAGAAGAGGAGGGAAGGAAGAAAGAGGGTAGGAGAGGAGGGTGGAAGGGAGAGAAAGAGAAGGAGAGAGGGTAGGAAGGGGAAGAGGAAGAGAGGAGTAGGGGAGAGGGAAGGGAAGAAAGAAAGGGGAAGGAGAGGAGGAAGGAAGAAAGTAGAGAAGGGAGTGAGGGAGAAAAGAAAAGGAAAATAAGGTGGAAGGGATGGCAAACAAAGCAACCCAAAATGTATATTATAACCTTATAAATGGAATGACAAATGTAAAGAAGCAGAATAACTATGTGAATGTATGCCCATAATTGTATGTAAGAGAATAAAAAATAAAAAATAAACTTTCAAAAAATGAAAGGGCTGAAAACAGGGAAGAAAAGTCTCCCACCCTCCTATTAATTGGCTGAAGAGCTGGGTAATTAAAATTCTCCATCTTAGTTATCGTAAATTATGGGCTAACTCTAGCTGTCTCTGTTCCTCTAACTCACGGCCCATGCATTGTTCCAAGTTAAAGTTGGAAGAACAAAAAGCTCTTCCCAGGAGTGAAACTCACCGGAGGCGGTTCGGACATTAGGGCCAACTTGTTGCTATCGTCCATCTTGCCTTCCATTCCAATCCTTAGCTCTCTAGCAGGAGAATCTTCCTTATTCTTCTGGACCACTGAAGGATAGGAGAACCTCTACTTATACTATGCACCTGATGCTAAACTCCTCCAGGGGAATGGTTAGCTCTCCAGCCCCATTGCAACTCCTGTTGGCTGGTAGCCAGTCTTGCTTTTAAGGAAGCGTTTCTTGCCTAGTCTTTTCGGGACACTCCAAAAGTGTTTATTTGGGCACATGTCCTTCAAGAGTTTCTGAAGAACCTTGTCCATAAGCAGAAGTACCTTCTAGGCACAAGTGGCCCCTTGTTGTTCCTAAACCTTAAACTCAACTTGTTCTAAAGTCAATCTGGGAAGGAGGAAGTCCTCCTCGTTCGCTTTTAAATCACTCCTTGAGAAGTTCGTAAGATGTTTGCCCAAAACACAATAGCAAGAGCTTCTGAGAAGAGCAATAGCACTGAGAGAACGAGGGTCATGTTATTGGAAAGAAATCTGGAGCCAAAGAGAGGGTTGAGGAGCTGTGGCTCCAGGCGCCCCACTATCATAGTTAATGGTGTGGGATGCTGGGAATTGAATTCAGCAGTTATGGAGAGTTTTATCAGAATTCCTATTCCTCACTCTCATGTCCATTCCGTCCACACCTGGGTCCTATCTTCTCATCCCCAGGGCCTCATCTGGACAGACATTCCATCACCTGGTCCTTCAATCTGGCAAAGATGACTTGTGAATCTCCTAGCAACAAACATTGAGAACCCGAGAGTTTCGTTCCTTCTTCCCTCCCACCCAGCGGTGGGGGGGGGGGGGTTGCAATCTGCCCCCCCCCCCAGCACAACTTCTGCTTGTCCTCGTCCCACAGGAGCCTTTGTGCCCGTCTCAGCCCAGCCCTGGTTGCAAAATGTGGCTTTTCCAAGCTCAAGTCACCCCCTGGCACACTTTGCCCTTTGATGTCTGGGGCACAGCTGTGCCCGGAACAAGAGACGTTTGTCTCCGTGCCACACGCTGCCCTCCCAGCAGCTCCCGGGCCCTAGTGGGCTCAATTCAGTCGCCAGGACAATGGGGGAGAGTGAGAAGACGAGCAACAACAACGATTGCAGCCAGAAGCCCAATTCACAATGGCCACCAAGGCTGGAGATGGGCTTGTTGTAAAAGCAGGGAAGAAACATCTGAACGTTGCAAGTGGTGTAATCCATTTCTGTCCCATCCTCTGAGCGGCATCAGAACTTTTCCAGAAGATAACTGGTGTGCCAAAATCAGCTAAGGCTTGGGACTGTGTGTAAAGATTGGTGAAAATGTTATTTAAGGGACAAGAGGAGGAGGAGGGGAAGGAAACTAGACAACAGTCAGATAAGAGGCAGCTTAGCCCACAAAATCAACAGAGGTGTAGAAAAGGTCTCAAAAAGGACACACACCCCTAGTTTCTTGTGTTATAAAGGTGAGGTGGGGAGAAATATGTAGTTTGAGACTTGTCTATGGAGATTCTCAGTCATCTAGGCCCTGGTTGTCCGAAAGGTGCTTTTTTTCAAGAGGCAAATGGACTTTCTTGTTTTTTTCTTTTGAAGACATTTCACTTCTCATCCAAGAAGCTTCTTCAGCTCTGACTGGATGGTGGGGAATGGAAGGATTTGGATTCCTTGCAGGCAGCTGGTCATTTGCATCCTTTTGGAGGGTCATTGTAACACTTGGAAAGGATGCAAATGACCAGTTGCCTGCAAGGAATCCAAATCCTTCCATTCCCCACCATCCAGTCAGAGCTGAAGAAGCTTCTTGGATGAGAAGTGAAACATCTTCAAAAGAAAAAAACAAGAAAGTCCATTTGCCCCCTGAAAAAAAATGCCGTATTTTTAGGATTATGAAGATGTACCTCTTCTACCCTTAAAAGAGCGTGGAAATGTTGATGCGTCTTGTACAATGAATATAGCCATTTTTGGCCCCCTGAAGCCCCATCCCTGCACCCCATTTTTATGAAAAACAGGGTGGCCCGTTTTCCTGAAAAATGGGGGTGTTTTGCCTTCCCCCAGCCCTGCTGAAGCCTGCAGAGTGCTCCTGGGGGCTGGGGAGGACAAAAATGTTTATTTTCTTACTTATCTCTTTGAAATCTTGGTGCATCTTGTAGTCCAGAAAATACGATACTTTGAGAGTTGCAAGTTTCTGCCAGCATCACCTTGGAACATAGGATAGCGTTAGCACTTGCAGTTGGAATGTCTTGCTTGGACCGTCCCAAAAGGCTTTGATCCTGGGTTCATTTGGAAGTCGGCTTCATCACAAGAGAGCAAATTCTGAGACAAAAGGACAGAGTCTATTCAAACAGGGCTGGCTGGGGAAAAATAACATGGGCAACAACGACAACAAACACCTCCTTGTGTTAAGATGGCAAGAGCGGTAGACGGCAGCCCCTTCGCCAGCTGGCAATTCCATTAAAAGGCACCAGCTGTAATTCCTGTCCTCCTCCGAGGCCTATGGTGATCAGGCTAATTTAAGAATTAAGTGGAGGCGAGGGGGTGAGGTGGGAAGAAGGGAGGTAGATGCAGGTCATATATAATGCATCCCAAGAAAAGCTTTGCGAACCCACAAAAGCTGACACACCCTTTTTGACTCGTATTTATGATGGCTGCAGTGACTCACCTTCACGCGATCAACTTTTGCAACCTCCCGACCAGCCAAGTTCATTTAACAACTGTGTCGCTATTTTAACAACCGCAGCGATTCGCTTAACAACTGTGGCAGGAAAGGTTGTAAAATGGGGCCGAACTCATTCGACCACTATTTCACATACCAGCAGAAATTTTGGGATCGCTTGTGGTCATGAGTTGAGAACCCCTTGTACCTACGTTCAGTGCTATTTGCATTAATTCCTTTTATGGCATGCAGTATTATGCAAAGCATAAAAATGTAATCAGGCATAGCGAGCGGAAGAAATGAAAGGCTTGAATTAAAAAAAGAAAAGAAATCTAGCTCAATCTTGTTTAGATCAATTATAACTTTCCATATTATTCCATATTATTCCAACTTTCACAGCTTCCCCCACGGCCAATCATGGCTCCTTAAAGTTGCCTTTTGTTTTATGCCTGTCAAATTTGAGATGCCCACAGAGATGCCAGGCAGGTCTTGGCAAAGCAGCTCGGGAGCCGAGAAGATGCATGGTACAAATCCATCTTAAGACCAGGGCCAATGACCTCCGAGTGGCCCAGTATTAGCAGTGGCCCCAGCACCAGCAGAGACGCAGCCCACCATCCTGGGAACTTCTCTGCCCCCTCAAAAGTCCGTATCCTGTTTGGGTGGGTTGCTCCCCTCTCTCTGCAACCCAAGCCTTGTGCCCCTTTGAGCATCTCTGGCAGTGTTAGGGGTCTCCTTGCATGGAGTTCCTCAAATGGTCCTTTGTCTTCGTTCCAAAGTTGGGGGATGCTTCCTCCTCCCTCCCCTCTTTCACCCCCCCCCCAGCTCCTGTTGCCATGTGCTATTCTTCCCCTCCATCCTGATGCTCTCAGAAGTCTCCAGCGCTTCCTTAACCTGCCCTCCCCCGCCTCCCAGGTCTGGTATTTGCAGCCCCTCCCCCTCCCTCCCCTCTTTCACTCCACCCAAGAGCCTTTGATGCCATGTGATTTCCTTCCCCTCCATCCCCGATGCTCTCGGGAGTCCCCAGTACTTCCTTGGCCCCCTCTCTCCGCCTTCCCCCCACCCGGGGGNTTATCCCCAAAGGTAGGGTGGGGTTTTGCTAGCAGCAATGGCTCTTCCGTCCCAAGGACCGGCCCATAGATTTCCACTGCTCTCCTCTCCTCTGCCTTCTGCACAGCCATGCATCAGGCACTGGGCCCAGCTGTTCCTCTTCCTCATCAGCCACCTCCAGATCTGGGGGCTGTTGACTCTCCATCTGAGGACTGACGGGCAGCCCAGGCTCCGCCTCTGTCTCTCTCTCTCTGACAGCTCCTTTCCTCTCTTCCCTCTTGGAACTCCCAGGTTGCCTTGATGCTGACCCTGACTCCCACGCCTCTTCCTCCTCCTCTGATTTGACTGCTGGAGGGGCTGGCAGCTGACAGGCCACAACAGTGGGCTTCGGACCCCATGACTGCAGGCAGCCTAGCCATGCTCTGCAGCGACTCCTCATTGATTTCTCTCCCCCTCCTCTTTTGCAGGACCCTGATCAATGCAGGCTTCAGCGAGTTGAAGGAAGCGGCCTTCGCACATCTTCCGTCCCTGCAGTTCCTGTACGTCTATCTGCCCAACGGTTGCCTGAAGAGGGGGAACAGGGGCCTGGGTGGTCAGTTCAGACCCCCCCACAAAGCGCGTGGCCAGGGGAATGCCTACCTAGGGGTATTTGGCCACGGGAATTTCTCGGGAGCTGGCAGGAAGGCAGAGGTCCCATGCTTTTCATAGCATGGTCCACACATCTTCCTATCTGGTGCTACGGCATTTGGGGGCCTGGGTTTCTCCACCTTGGCAACTCTCCAAAGGGTGGACTTCAGCTCCCAGAATTTCCCAGAATTTGGGAGCTGCCAAGGTTGAATGATGCTCTCCAAGGAGTAAGTAGAACTTTGGTGGTTTCTAGGACTAGATGTGTGGAGTGGGGTGGGAAACCGTCACTCTCTTCCTTTCGGTTTGGGGGTTCCCTTTGAGGCAAGAGTTGGCAGAGCCCTTTTTCCAAGGAGAGCCCTTTCCCCAAATTTCATGAAGCCCACCCCTCCCCCCATCTCCTTTTTGAAGGAGGACAAGGAGCCTAGAATCAGAAAAGTGGATTTGAGAGAGGTGGGATGGAAGAATGTGTCAGGGTTCCAAGAAATACCCCCAACGAAAGAAAACTCCAAGGCTTGAATTTCCTCAAAATTCCACTTTATTAGAGATGTCACGTTGGCACATCTGGGAAAACCCAAATCTGAAACCTTCCAGGTTTTCCCGCCCAGTTGAAAATTCAGGACCCTGCCCCCACACCCACAAGTCCATCACAGAGGCCTCTGCAGCCTCTGAAAACTATGTGGAAGCATGTCCTGTTCTCACATTGTTTCCGTAGCCTCTGAAAATGGTGTGAGAACAGGACGTGTTTTGGGGAATGGTTGTTGCTGGGTTTGAGTGAATATGGGTGTGTCACCCAAAATGTTGGGGTGTGTTACCCTTGACATCTATACAGCATGTTCGCCGTTACTGTCTTAGCCCTATTTCAATTAAGTTCCCCGTTGCAAAAGGGGCACTTGGGCTGTTGATTGACAGATTTGTTAACGTGAATTCATGTGTCCTCTTAAGTTTGTGAAATACTTTGATCGATTCGTTGGTTGATTAATTGATCGTAGTTTTCCATTCATTCCTCTTGCAGGCAGTGCATGGGTTTTAACACGGCTTTGAATATTTGGATCAGAAAAACTGATTTTTCTTGCAATCTCATATGAATATGCAGAAATTTCAAAGAGGGAGCAGAGGATTAATGGGGTGGGGGGAATCCCCAGGACTCCAACAAATGGCAGATCCCCCACACTTAAGTTCTTATATTTCATTTATGATTTTAAGCTGATTAAATTATTAAAACCTTCATTTATAAGGTCTAAGAGCAGAGGCAGGGTTCCTACCAGTTCAGAGTGCTACGGCCGAGTAGGTAGTAATTCGGCCTGCCACACCCCCAAACTGGTTCTATCGGGAGCAGCGCCATCTTGATTTTCAGTGCAATGCAATGTTTTCCCCTTTTCTAACGTGTGCACGCACAGACCTTTTAAGGTGGAAATGCACACCTGCACGGAGCACAAAATCTTTTGCGCACCGAACTGGCAGTAATGCTGGAAGCAACCCACCCCTGTCTAAGAGTTCTACCTTTGCAGCAGTCAACTTTAAGTTCTGAAGTTTTGCATCTAATGTTTTTACAGTCCTGGAGAAGATGCAGCCATTCTCCGTCTCCGTTGGAGTGGGGGAGGAGGCTGATTCGGATGACGTGGCACCCTTAACCTCCAGATTTTTCCTTCATGCTACACTGTGCGTCTCTTAACAATTCTCCACGAAGCGGCTATGAGAGTTCACACCAAGCATCTCTTGTGCCCTGGTTCAGATAACGTTTGCATATGCCTGAGTTGCTAAGTGGGTCATTTGATTCTGGAAGGAGCCTAGAATAAGGTAGAGAGAAAGAGGGATACTGCGGTACTAAAGAACGACAGAAAAGGGGTTTGAAAAAGTCAAGATGGCAGTAGAAGGAAACAACAGAAGCCTCACTCCTTTTAATGTATGTCGCAGTGACATGTGTGCTATAAATATCATTGTACTGAAATAACATACTGTGTTGTATTAAAACAGAGCCTTCTCTTCAACTCTCTCTCTCTCTCTCATCTATATCTATTTTCTATCTATCATTTATCCATCCATTATCTAACCATCATCTATCCACTCACCACCCACCCATCTATCTAATCTGTCAATTTATCTTCTATATATCATCTATCCATCCATCCATTATCTATCTTTCTATATCTATCTATCTATCTATCTATCTATCTATCTATCTATCTATCTATCTATCTATCTATCTATCTATCTATCTATCTATCTNCCCTCTTTCACCCCCCCCCCAGGAGTCCCTGATGCCATGTGCTTCCCTTCCCCTCTATCCCGATGACCTCAGGAGTCCCCACCTCTTCCTTACTCCCCCTCTTCTCCCCCTCCCACCCGGGGCTGGCACTTGCAGCCCGCTCCCTCTCCCTCCCTCCCTCCCTGGCTGCCACCCCCGCGCCGGGCGGAGAAGCCGAGCTCTGCTCTCTTCTGCAGGTGCTGAAGCATCCCGCTCGCCCAGTTGTGCTTCAGCTGCCGCCGCAGCATCCAATCCTCCATCCCTCCATCCAGGCAGCCGCGGCGGAGGAAAGCCGGCCAGCCCGGAGGCTGCTGCTGCAGGGACGCAGCCGGTGGCACCTGGGCAGAAGCGATGGCTGGGCTGCAGCGCTGGGGCAGAGGCTCCCTCCTCTTCCTCCTCCTCCTCTCCTTGTTGGGCCTGCTCGGCTGCTGGGGGCCGGTGGCCTCTCGCCGAGCCCCCCGGCCGCCCCCTTGCCCCCCCAGCTGCTCCTGCACCCGCGACACGGCTTTCTGCGTGGACTCCAAGGCAGTGCCAAAGAACCTGGCACGGGACATCATCTCTCTGTGAGTGGCAAAACGGAGCTCCCTTGTTGGGGTGGGGAGAATTGAGGGAGGTGGGAGAGGTTGCGGGTGGGAGTGGGAGTGGGGAAGGAGACCCATTTGTTTGAAATGGTGGTGTGGGGTCTCCTGCTTAGCGGGGTGGTGGTGGTGGTGGCAGGTCTTAGAGGACCTCCAAAGTCCCCTTTCCCAACTCTGTGCTGCTCTTCTGTTGTGTTCTTCTCTGTTGTGTTCTTCTCTGTGTATTTTCAGCACCGCAAACAACTTTTTGGGAGCCAGGGGGGAGAGAAACTTGGCGAGAGGAAGAGGGCTGGCTTGCGGGGTGTTAAAGAGAGAGGATGAGGAGGGGGAGAGCAGGCAGGAGCAGAACAAAGGAGGTGAAACCCCCTTTCCCAACATTTCAGGGGAGGGGGAAAAGGCATGGATTGGGTGGTGGGCTCCATATCTAGAAGGCTGGTGAGGGGCGTGGAGAGGATATATATCACATACACCCTGTGGCTTTGATTCTTGAGAAGTGTGTGTGTGGAGGGTGGGTGGGTGGACTTTCTCTCCATCCTTATGGGGGGAACCAGAGCATCTTCTTCCCCAGGCTGGTCCCTCCTGCTCCAGATGCAGCATTGAAAAGCATCTTTGCCCCAGGAGGTGATGCTAAAGTTCTCCACTCTGGTGGAAGGGAGCAGAATGTGGGTGGGCGACCCATCCTCTAAGGGGTACTTCAGCCCCTTCCCCTCCAGCAGTTGAGGGGGATCAGGGCTTCCCAGCCTCCCCTTTGAGGGAGAAAGAGACACCCCCCCCCCAAAAAAAAGCCTAGGGCGGGATGCCTGCCCACTTCTCAGAGTGACTGAACTGGTTGCTGTTGTGAAGGTGTGGTAGAAAAACATGAGTCACTTGTTTTTGTTTTGGCCAGTTGCTTTTGTCACAGCCAACCTTCCCTCTGACCCCTCCTCTTGTGTGTGTGCTTCTTGTGGATCTGCCTTTGGGTCTGAAAGAGAGGAGGATGGGATGGATACATATCTTGGATCCCAGAAAGAGCAACAGAAGAGAATAATAAGAGTGGGAAGGGATGGTGGAGATCCTCCAGTCCAACCCCCCACCCGAGGTGCATATACAGTATCATGGTTCTCCCATCCAAGCCATCTCTGCCCTGAAGATAGAAACTTCTTATCAAGCTGATAATCCAAGGAACAGCTGTGCTCACACAACACCGTTAGCAAGTCAATGTATGTTTCAGTGGCTAAGAAAGTTCACTATGTGGTTGTATAAATGCATGTCTGTGTGTGTGTGTGGCTGCCACCAGAAGTTGTGGGTGCTCCATCATCAGAGGTTTTAAAGAAGAGATTGGACAATCGCTTATCTGAAATGGGATGGAGTTTCCTGCTCAAGCAGGGAGGGGATTAGAAGACCCCCAAGGTCCCTTCCAATTCTGTTGTTCTGTATCTTCACACTGTAGAAGGACCTGGAGCAGGAGAGGCTGAAAAACAAATACAAGTAACAAGGAAGACATTCTGTTGGAATGTTTGGGGAAACATACTAAGGGTTACAACTCTAGAGAACAGAATGACTACCAAATAATGGGGGGTGAATGGGTGGGCTCGCCTTGGGGGACTCATTTCAGCAGAAGCTGGATGGTGACATGTCGTAGTTGCAGCTTCCTTCTCTAATGGTTTGCTTTAGTGGGCTGGAACAGATGACCTTCAAGGTTGTTTTTCCCCCAGTGCTTTAAATCTGCAATTCTGTAGGAAGTTGCTAAAACTTCAGTGCTGCCAAGACACCATTTCTGCAGTGCTGCACAATGCAAATCCTTAGGTGAGATGGGCAGTATAGAAATGAATACAATTTTGATTGCATTTTGTTGGGGGTAGGTTGCCATTATGTTCAGATTGGGACTTCTGTCCATGTGCTTTCCAACACCCTTCTCTCCAGCCAAGTGTCATCACAGATGCTTGACTTCCATCAGTCTCAAGTAGCAATAATCAAAGCTATCCAGAAAACACCATCTTGCATAATTCAATATATCCCTGTTTTCTTCAGTTTGGGGCCTGGTGCAAAGGGGTTTCAGGAATCTCTCACTATTCATGAATCAGGCATGTACTACCATATGTGGTGGTTGTGCCAAAAAACACAAATATTGGTGGAAAATTCAAAGGTGGCTGATAGAGATAACGGAAAAGGAAATAGAATTCAAACCAGAACTATTTCTCTTGGGAATCACAAATGATAAATATAACAAGGAGGTAATTGACTTAATAATACATACTATTATGGCAGCAAGAATGGTCTTTGCCCAAAACTGGAAAAAAGAGAGAAATTCCACAAGAAAAGAAAGTAATTAGGAAAATTCTAATTTGTGCTGAAATTGATAAATTGACGTGGGAATTGGAGAACAAAGACAAATCAGAATATTTTAAGATCTGGGATAAATTTTATCGATGGTTGGAACAAAAAAGGAAAGACCCCAAATAAGCAACAACTAAGATTTACAGAATGGAGATTAGAATTATGTATGAAACCATAACAGTGAAGATGTATAAGACAAGATCAAAGCAACAAGGAGGGAAATACGATATCCTTATATTTGTAAATACCGAATAGACCAACTTTATATTCTAGTATGGAATATAACATTGCCAGGACGGTTACACTGGGTCCAATGTTTTAATGTGTGTTTAATAAAAAAACAACAGGAACCTATCAATATTCAGAAGGCTAAACGCCTTCGGGCATTTCGTCCCTCTTAATGGCCAACATTGCGGCAGCCCCTCCAGCCAAACCTAACCCCACCCGCCGGAAATGGTTGGGATGCGAGACAACACCTGTGGGCCAACATTGATTTGCTAAAGTGCTCTGGGGGCTCCTTGCCAAGCAACGTTCATGAATCACAATGGGACAGAACGCATTCAAGGCGTCCTCTCCACCTCGGGGGTGTCCGACTGTTGCAGTTCCTTAGCTGCAGGACAGAGAGGAGAGCCAGCTCAGAGGGTAGGGGAGGAACCCCGGAAGGCTTGGGGTGGGGTGTCCACAGGGGGTGCTCAAAAGAATCAAGGGGATGGCTTTAGTGAGAACAACAGAGTTTGGAAGGGATCTGGGAGGTCTTCTAGTCCAAACCCTTGCTCAAACAGGGGTCCTCAAACTTTTTAAACAGGGAGCCAATTCACGGTCCCTCTGACTGTTGGGGGGCCAGAACGGCTGGATGGGTGAGGCTGGGTGGGCATGTG